ATTATATATTATGAATATGCATATAAATAACTGTTTTTAGCATCTAATTCAATCTAAATTTATTTTCGAGGGAAGATAAAAAAGTAATATATTATCGGATTTTGAAATCAGGGAGCATTAAAATCTAAAATTCTCAGTCGAGCGTTTATTTGAATAGCGCGCATTAATTTTCTTGGCACTCTCCTCTCCTATCAAGGCCAAAAAACCAAAATTAGTTTTGTTTTTTCTTATTTTTTTCTTTTTCCTTTATTTTTATTTTAATATCTGCTGGCCACTTGCAAGAGATTATAGCGGACAACTGTCAACTGCTTGACAAGCTTAAGCCATCTGCCCATCAAGTCATCAATTATTCCAATGCTTCCAGCGACCAACTGTTGCTTTGGCACTTCCAAGTGCTCTCTCGCACGCCTGCCTACTCTAGCCGAAACTCACCACAGCAACGTCGTCACGAATTGCAAATTCAACACAAAGTTTAGGTTCGTGCTTTCAGTACGCCGCAGCTGTTCGTGTGGGGAACATCGTTGCATGCGCTGTGCGGCCGCTTCTGAACGACTCTATCCAGAATGGAGTTCTGCTTCGACTATTCGACTATGCTGCCGGCTCTATTTACATAGGCCACTTGCTCACCCACACACACACCCATCCACACACACATATAGATAACAATGAAAATATAATTTTAGTGCCTAGTAAAAATCCATAGTGGACATCACTTTTGTTACGCTTCGCTTTGCTTTGCGTGCAGCCAAATAAAAGATAATAGAATTGGCAAAAAAAAGAAGAGGCAGACAGAGAGAGAGAGAGGCAGAGAAACCAGAAAAGAAAAAAATGATAATAAATAGTTGGAAGAGCTAGGACTTTTGCTCTATTGTATGGCTAGCCCTTTTTTGTTTCATTTTTTTATGAAAGCCTCCCCAAAAAGCCAAAAAAAAAAAAAAAAAAAAAAAAAAAAAAACTATGAAAATGATATCGACGCGGGCGCAAGTCAAATTTAATTTCACGCTTAGGAAATTCTTTCCGTTAGACCTCGTAAAAAATATATAAAATAAAAATGAATTTCTAATAAAAAAAAAAGAAAGCTAAAAACAGGAAGAGAAAGAAGGAAAGAAAGAGACACACACATTGACTTCAACCAGTGGAATGTATTCAAAAGTTTTGCCACTCACATGAGCAATGGGTCGACATATACCCACATATATAGCATATCTATCATAAAGATATATACATGTGTATTTATGGTAAATGTTGCCCGTGTCTATGCATATTCCAGTTGGGAATTAGAGTTTTACATCCATCGAGCATTAGTGATGGCCATTTGGCTGCTCAAAGCCATAGAATATCGAGAGAGCCTTAGCCTCACACTGCCAAGTCTATTGTCCAAGCAGCTGGAGCTATGCAGTTTGTTATCATTGTATTTATTGCATATAGAAGACATTATTTTTTAACATTCTGCAACAGAACGAGGTTTCAGAGGGAGAGAAAGAGAGAGAGAGAAAGAGAGAGAGAGACAGATGGTAGATAGACAAAGAGAGATAGTAGATTGACAAAGAGAGAGAGAGAGAGAGAGAGAGATAGTAGATAGACAAAAGAGAGAGAGAGAGAGAGAGAGAGAGAGAGAGATTCTCTATCACGCAGACATCAAATACCAGAAAGTACTTTAAAGTACCCTTACCAATGGTCAGCTTATCCAGAATCATATTGATATATTTCTTACAAGGCATTTAATCATATTAATAAGATCATATAAATCAATCTAAAAGCTTTCAATTAACATGAAACAATAGATGAAAGATGAGCAGATATTTTTGGATTAATTGCAGCCATTTTGGAAATATTTCAGAGACATACTAGATCATCACTATCATGAAAACTATTCACGTACATTGTAAAAGCCCTACTTCAAGGAAGACCCCTCCTCACACAGCCAAAGTGCAGACGTTGACTTAAAGATATTCCCATGGGTCTACAGGCTCTTCCAGCTAAATATATTTCCGAATTCCAATCGCCTTCAAGTGTCCTCTGAGATGCCCGTTATTCAGGAACTACTGCCACCTGGACATGCAGCGTACACAAACGGTCGTAATTAGGGGGCTTAAAGCGCCTTCACAGCCTTCGGGGATTAGCCCCGATGGCCGCACCCAACTGATGTAATGTACATATACTGTATCTCTATTAATATCTATATTTCTAACTAGACAATGGGTTTACGGCGTATAGTTGCTTGTGCAAGCCTGCGCACCCAACAGGCAGCAGGTGGCTGTCCTCATCCCATCAGGAATGCATTAAGCTCTCCGTCCATTCTATGGATACGCGCTAGAATAGACAAAGACTGGAAGCTTCAAAGATATAAACTTATTTACAGTAAGCACTCAAATATCAGTACGAACTATGGAACCAAGCAAGATATTTTTCAATTTTAAAAGCAACGTGGTATGCCATACATGAAAAATGTGATTTTAGTCATAAAATTCATGTATTTGTATGAAAAACTTTAGTATTTCTGAGCAAAATGATTTTATTTTAATTATTTGTAGTGAATATTGTATGGTCTTTCTGTCCGTTACTCTGTATCTATCTATCTATTTGTCCGACCATTTTTTTTCGTCCGTCGGTTCATTCCTTGGACCCTTTGCTTGACAAACCGTGGTTCCCCCTGCTCGCCCGTGGGCGTGCCTTTCTGTCGGTGTCTTGGTCTTTTTATCTGTTAGTCTGTCTGCTAGGCGTCTTTGTGTCCGCCAATTTATCTCCATCCGTCCGTTCGTTTTCCCACCTATCCGTCTGTCCATCTATTTTGTCAGGACATTTTCTCGTCAGTTCGTCCATATTTCCGACGAACTGTTCGTGCTCTACTACATATATCTTCAATCTTGAGATTTGCATTTTGGAATTTATAATCGACAACCCCAGACGGAAAACATATAGTGGACGCGTGGCCTACTATATCTCCTAGATCTTTACAGCTACACACTCCAATTTTTACCTTATTCCTTTTAGATTGTGCTAATTTGAGAAAAAAAAGTCATTCGTTTCTCTTGGTTTGAGAGCTCTACTTAAATGGGGCAGGTTAGCTACTGGCCTTTGCTTCCTTTAGATTAAATGCACTGCTTATAGCTTCTATATAGACACTATTCATATAGAACGTAAAGATTTACTTTATAGATTTAATAGCATTTTCAATTAAATAAAACAACAAATTATGAAAATAAATATATATTATTTTTAAAAAGTTTAAAATACATTTTTATTACGTTTAAACTTACTTCGAACATTTTATAATTGATTAAATTCTTAATGTTTACTCTTGCTAGTATGAGCGAATAGAATTATCGCCACATCTACATATATAATATACTATATATATGTAAATATATATAATCTGCATATATGTATAATATAAGCCTTGGGTATATAGGGGATACAGAACGGAGGAACTTGTTTGAATATCTAATTTTAAATTTTAAAATTAGAATTTCGAAAATGTGTGTTTAAAACTAAAGCGTTTTCAGTAAAGCACCATTCGAATTCTTAAGAATATTTTATTTGTATTTTTTATTTTTAATTGATTCTTAATTTTATTTTTCTCTCACATTTAAATTGAAAAGGGCTAAGTGAAGGGTTTTTAGCAGCCTCTTTGCTTTTGAATTTCTAGATAATGTCTGCTTAGAGTGAAAGGAAGAAATCCACATATATATCCATGTATATACATATTTATCTAAACATATATGTGTATAGATAGACATACATATACGCTGCCATCAGGCTGCATATAAACAATGAAGATTGTTGCTCACTTTTATGGGCAGCCGCATTAACATCAACCTACTCGTTGCCTGCTGGCGAGTCTTTTCAGCCAATTTAAGTGTCTTACAATTTTGCGCATTGTCTCCGTTTGTGTGCGCTTATATATACATGCGTGTATATGTGTATACATATATATATATATCGTAGAATGTCGTGCGGGGCTTCTGTCATTGCTAAGCTTAAGTTGTTGCAGCATTTTGTTGTCACTGCTGCCGCTCGGCGCCTGGTTAAAAGCATCTTAGCGCCGGCAAAAGCATATCAACTGCCACGCCACGAGCCCATGGTCCACATCGGACACACACACACACGGACACACACACTGACACATGTGGAAGTGGCAGCAACACGTTGAGCCGCGCCCACAGGGGCGAGCTAGAAAGTGCTCGAGTTAGAGTGAGAGAGGGATAGCTCGTCCTAGTCGCAGCAGTCGTAATCTGCTGCGTTTAGTTTATTGCCGCCCATTTGTTAAAACAAAGCGCTGCCAGCGAGAAGAGTTTATGATGCGCTTTGCTTAAAAGTTATTAACTAAATTGTATACGCTTGAAATTGAATGCTGCGCAACGGCTCTTTGTTTTGGCCGGAAACTTAATCGCTTCAAGTAGAGCGCAGGCGAGCACTCTGCAATCATCGCAGCATCCAAGTGAGACAAAAACGCCAACAACAAATGCAGAGCCAACAGGAGGAGGATGAGGATGAGCAGGAGCAGCAACAGAAGCTGAAGCAGAGGCAGAAGCAGAAGCAGAAGCTCCCGCATAAGATGTGCCACGGGGCCAGGTGCTCGGGGCACCTGAGCGGCCAGTAGCTGTGGGCTCGATAATAAAGCAAAAGTTGCAACACAATATTTCAGTGTCATTAAAAATCCAGAGCACACTGAAGGGCAGCCAGTGGCAGCAGCAGCAGCAGCAGCAGCAGCAGCGCCAGAGGCAGCGGCAATGGCAGCGGGAGGCGTGGCATCAACGCCAAACCATGCATATAAATTGTGTGCAGCGACAGCAGTAAGAAATTGCCAAAGGCAAAGCGAAAAAGTCTCTCGCAAGTTAAGCGAAATATGCAACGTAAGATAGAGAGAATCTACGCCCACAGCCCCCCAAACTCTCTCTCTTTCTCTCTTCTCGCTCTCCTCTCTATGCATTTGGAGGTGTCACAAAAATTTCGTTCAATTGGTTTCATATCTCTGGTGTTTTATCTTCAACTTCTGCTAGCTTTTTTTTTTTTTTTATTTCCCTGAAAAGCAATTTTTAAGCCATTTCTAAGACTGTTGCCACAATTGGCGCTCGAGCAGGAAATACCCTGTAATCTGTATGATACTTGTTTAAAGAGTAAAGCTATATCCTCATATCAAATGAAAACGGTTCCATTTTCTAATGAAGAACCTGTAGTAAGTAGATATACATATGAGACTTGTCGATGCGATGCGATGAAAGATAAGATAAGATAAGATAAGATCACGATACAAGCTTTTGGCTAGATCCTCACTGTGAATGTTGCTGGCCATAGACTTCATCATTAATTTGGTTTCCAAGAAAAGCTTGTAGAGGTCCCCAAAAAAAAAAGTTGTTCACTTTGCAGCTTTTTTATGGCTTCTGAAATCGGCTCCAGCCCAGACAACAGAGCTTTGATGTCAGCCCATTGCTTCTTTGCTAGCTGCGATGATGATGTGCCCACCAGATGGAGTTCAACATATGAACTCAGGCTAGCCTGAGTTATGGTGGGCACATCATCATCATCAGGCAGAGGTAGCGCTGTGGTAGAAATTGCTCGTCTAAATTCAGTACACAAGAGAAAAACTATTCATTGGTATAATTCAAATTCGTTAATTTGTATGCTTACCTGAGTTTCGGTGTGCGCAATGCTTTTCCAAGTTTTCGCGCACTGCAACAGTTGCATCCCTTGCATGTTAAAACAAATCTTACGGCTTATTGCTGTCCATCAGCTGCTCATTTTCGAGATCAACTTTCCGGGTCTTCGTTCAAACAAGCAATTGCCTGTATGACATTTCATCCATTGTCTGCTTTGAAATCGAAAACTCTGCCAAAATATTTTCGATTTCTATGCTCAAATTGAGTCCTGTGTGTTCTCGCTGCAGCTCTTCTTCACTTCAATGGCATGATTTCTGTAATACTGGACGTTTACACGCAGAATACCTTTCGAATATCAAGAAGCAAGGTCCATTTGAAGTCGATCTTTTAAAACGGACTTTTTGCGCTCATATTTTTTTGTGACGTGATGCATGATATTCCGTGATGTAATGGGGCTCATCTGCATCCCATTAAAAATTTGGTCTGTCAGCGATTTAAACGGCGCAGAATCAAAAACTGAGTATGACTTTGTTTCAACTGTCACCAATAGCACGCACGCTTTTTTGACCTCGCTTGTCGATTGTCTTCCTAATTGTAATCATTGGCATGGCACTCCTGAAGATGTCTCTTCAAATTCGTGATGTAATTGCCCTTAAAGGAACGCTTTAAAGCAAAAAAACTCGCGGACAATAGCATCACGTTTACGACTTATCGCAATCAATCACCAAATTATAAAAGAAACAATGCGCACAAAAAGTTTAACGATGCTGCGTTAACCACTTCTTATCGCAAATTGAATTCTAAAAATAGATTTTAAACGGATCACTCTGCTGCACAGTGGGACAATCGGACCTTTAGTGTCGCTTTTTATACTTTTTATACCCTGAACCCATTTTCAATGGGAAATCAGGGTATAATGGTTTTGTGGAAATGTATGTAACAGGCAGAAGGAGGCGTGGCAGACCCCACAAAGTGTATATATTCTTGATCAGGGCGACGAACTGAGTCGATTTAGCCCTGTCTGTCTGTCCGTCTGTCCGTCCGTCCGTCTGTCCGTCTGTCTGTCCGTCCGTCCGTCCGTCCGCCTGTCCGTCTGTCCGTCTGTCCGTCCGTCCGTCTGTCCGCCTGTCCGTATGTTTGAACGCGTCGATTTCCGAATATAATAAGAGCTAGAGACTTGAATTTTTTTATACTCATTCACGAAAGTGAATCAGTATATTGGTTTTGTGCAATGTCCGTCTTGCTGTCCGTCCGTCTGTCCGTCTGTCCGTCCGTCCGTCTGTCCGTCTGTCCGTATGAACGCAATCTATTTCGGCGCTATTGAAGCTAGAGACTTGAAATTTGGAACACATACTCGTGTATATCTCCGATTTATAAAGTGTTAAAATTTTCCCGATCCGCCCACTAGGGGCGTGGCAAATCGGAAAATGCATTTTCCGATATACCAGAAATCATGTTTGTTGAAGAGCTAGAAAGCTGAAATTTGGTATGTAGGTCCGCGTCGACCACCCAAGATCACGAGCTATGGCGGATATATCTCCGCCCATTGGGGGCGTGGGAAATCGGATAAAACTGTGTCTCCTAAAGTTGTAAACCTAGAATGCTGAAATTTTGCATGTCAGCTAATGTTATGATTCTATAAAAGCTAAAGACAAAATTATAAGTCTACGCCCATTAGAGGCGTGGCAAATCGGACCTGAAGATATAGTGATTTTTCGAATTCTGCTATATTTTTAACGCTATTGATGCCAGAGATCTCAAATTTTGTATATATACTCGGTCTGATCACCCAAGACCAAAAAGCTTTGTCGGATATATGTCCGCCCACAGAGGGCGTGGCAAACCGCAAAAATTTATATCTCCTAAAGTATAATAGCTAGAAGCTTCAAATTTGGATAGTTGAGTTACTGGTAGCCTCCTCTACGATTCCCCAAAAATATTTTTTACGCTTCTTTAGGGGCGTGGCATATCGAAAAATACCCTGTAATTTTCACTTTTTTTTTTTGAGAGTAAGCATTCAAACTTTGCAGTTAGGGTACTGTTATGACCAAAAATGAGGTGTCTACGCCCAGTTGGGGCGTGGCAAATCGTAAAACCCTGTATATTCTACAGTATTAGAGCGAAACTTAACTACTAAATTGTTGATGGGATGTGAATGAGTATTCCGCAGTCGGTAACGCCCAACTGCAACGTTCTCACTTGTTTTAGTTTCGTTTAGTTTTGGTAGATGGCGCTGCAGCAGTGAATCTATTTGAGTTTTGCCAGCGCCACTAGCAGGAGTGGGGTGGCCTAGTGTGTTAGCTGCATGACGCTCGATCGAGAAGTCCCGGTTCCAATCCCGATCGATGCAACTGATGTTAATTTTTTTTAATTGTTTCAAAATATTTTTATATTTTATTAAATGAGTTTGGTATTTTATTTATATTTTTAAATACATCGAAATTGAAATTTCAGCCATATTAAATAGGCATTTTTATTTGTTGGGTTCAGGGTAGTATCTAGTCGAGAACTCTCGACTAGAGTTTTCTTACTTGTTTTTAATATACACTTTTTCTCAGAATCCAGAAGTCATTCTTTAGGATTTTTATACTAATAGTATTGAACAATGTTTTGGTTTTGTATTATTTTTTATAAAATGCATTGACCGATAGACACCCACTGTGCGTGTGTCATTATGCTTTAGTTAAATCCATCTCTTTCACTCTTTTGCGACTACACATTACATGCTGTTAAGTACTGTAAAGTGCACAGGGTATAATGAAATATATATATATGTACATATTTACATACATATTATATATCATCTGAATATGAATGCGTAGATCATATATATATGCCTATACATATATGATCTAGCTCCTTTGCTTCAATTTTTTTTTAAATTCTAAATTTAAAATTTTTATTATAAAACTCAATTTTTTTAAGTGCATAACTGTTGTTTGCGGTCCCCGAATTATTCATCTCCATTGGCTTGCATCATATGCTAGCATATTTGAAGTGAAATAATATTTAATCTGAACTTCTCTTTATATCTTTTTTTCTCTCTCTCTCTCTCTCTGTCTCTCCACTCTCTTTCACTGTGCTTTCATTATTTTGATGACAAATCTATTAAATGAACATATCATGTGGTCTACCAAGAAGCAACTCAACTCACACACACACACACACACACTAGCGACTAGCACTGGTCAAAGCGATTGCAGCAGGCGTCATCAGAGGAGAATGTGAACGGGAGAAGGGAGGCATTTGTGTGCATTAAGCAGTCGCCGCTGCCAGCTGCCTAATCGAGCGATTCGTGCAACATGTTGGCCAGGTTTGTTGAACATTTTTGCATGTGTCGTTGACACTCTGGCATTTGTGGTTGGCCTTAAGCTCGCTGTGAATTTCAACTTGTTGCTGGCTCAGCTGACTCCGACTACATCAATTTGTATCGTGTCGGCTATTAGGGAAGCAGGAATGAGTTCAGTTGCTTCACAATTGCTCTACAATCACCTTTGTATCTCGCTTGACATCGAGTCTAGGTGGACTGAGTGGCGCCAGAGCTGATGGCCTACCCCTATTTGAGCTGAATTCTCTTGCAGCTCGGCTTGATTATGAAACTTAAAAATTATTATTAATTAATACCTTTAATCCAGCTCTTTACGTACTGTGATTGGTTGAACTGAACTGAATATTCGTGAATATGAGTATGACACAAAAGTAATCGATTCGATTCTTGATGAAAAACTTGTATTCTCTTGGAAGAACTTTGGTCCACAAGCTCTCGCACTCCTAGCAAATATTCTAGCTAGCTAGCTCTAGTTAGACTATTTGTACTCTGTTTACTTGAAGTAGGGTTCTAGCTGAATTAAGATTTTGCGTCACTTGCAAAACCTAAGTGAATTATTACATACAATACTATACGTATCACTTTGTTTTGTCTAGAGCCTCGCATTTCAGTTTGCCGATTCGTGACTGCAGTCTTCGTGCAAGTCTTAGAAGTAGAATGGAGAGGGTGTTTTTATAATTACTATCCGATTGCATTTGCGAATCATATTATCATGTTGCCCTTGAGTTTGAGAAAGAGGGATAGAAAGAGAGAGAGAGAGGGAGACAGAGAGAGAGAGAGAGAGAAAGGTAAATACACTAAGATATGTATTGCCGAATGTATGGTTAATGAGGTTATTCGGTCAGGGTCGTTATGATTGCCAGCGGACGCACAGAAACTGAACAAAAAAGTATATTCTTGAAAAGTAGATACTAAAAGAGCGCATAGCGGTAGTCTGTGATTGCAAATGTCTAATGTACGAAGGGCCCACCCCCGTTTGAAGTATTATATCAAGCTTCATATAACTAGAATTTAGCAAAGGGAGTTTTGAATTTAGCACTATACGAAACATTTTTAACAGAAGTCCTTCATATTTTCTTTCTAGATAGAGCCTGGCCATGCCCATAACACACAAATCTCTGCTTTAAGAAACCAAAAATGTGAGAATGGTTTTGATTAATTAACAAAGGAGCTTAACGACAGAGTTAAAAAAGAAAACATTTGGTATACCCAGATATAAGGATATATATAGAAAGAGAGAGAGATTCGTCTCCAGAAATGTAAACCAAACTTATTTTTGGGCTGTTCGGCATTTCCAACTGAATCAATGCACTGCATATATAGAGAGTGTATTCGTCGGTCTGGTATGCTCGACCGGAGCTCTTTCATCTGTGTTGAGCTCTTTTGTTGTGTGGTGCCTCACTGGGGACTGGCTTGCTGACTTGTTCAGCTCGTTGCTGGGCGCTCGATTGGCGGATGTGCGCTCTTAGTAGAAATTGCATTTTGAAATTGAGTGCAGGACGCAGGACGCAGGGCGCTGGTCGCCGAAGACTGTCCAGGGACTTGGAAGGCGACGCGTTAATATTTCATCTTTCATGCTCACTTGCATTTACACCTACATTGTGGGCAAGACCTGGCTTGGCTTGGAGGGGGCCGCGAGCGGGTGGCCGAACAATGGCCAGACCCCACGGCGTGTAATCAAAAGAAAACGTTGCCTTCGGCTGCACGTCGCACATCGCACATCGCACATCGCACGTCGGACGTCGGACTGCGGACTGCGGACGTTGCAAGTCGCAAGTCGCACGTCGACTCTGCAGCTTGGCCGTCTTCTTGAGCGCCACCACGGAGGGCGTACCAGAGCCAGCGACGACCATGACGCCGACACCAGCTGCGAGTTATTTACAGGCAGTGGAGGGCCTTTTTCCAAAGACGGCCAGAGCGCAGAGGCGGGCAGCAGCCAAAAGAACGTCCTTGTACAGCTTTAACACATCGCCGGAAGCATTTAAATGTGTTTTTGTGTAAGCGTGTATCGTCCAAGCAGCAACCAGCAACCAGCAACTAAAATATTTCCGTTATTAAGCTAAAGAAACACTTAACTTTGCCAGGATCACGTTGGGACGTTGGACAGGTGCGCCGTGCCGTAAAGCTGAGGGTCCCTACGTCAAATGGCGTATGGGAT